GAGCAGGGAGCCCGATGCGGGACTCGATCCCAGGACCCTGGGATCATGACCTGAGCCGAAGGCAGACGCTTAACCATCTGAGCCACCCAGGCGCCCTCTACTTGAAGTTTTTAAAAAAGAAACCAAAGAATGCTCTCACACAAACATACAAGCTAAAAAAAGTATATATTAATGTAGGTTCAAACAGAAAACATGATCTTATGTAAACCACTCCAAACTTTACTTTTAGTCATATTTATAATTTAAAATATATATTTCTCTAATATTTTATATAACAACAAAAATCTGGGATAAAAATTCTCATGTTTCACTATAGGGCATAACTACTGTAAAATGAAGTTTAGGACAGGTTGTAACAGCGCTATAACTCACAAGTGCAATTATGATGATATGTTTCACTAAAATAGACATAAGATTGGTTGTTTAAATAAACATATAGCAACTGTTTACAGTGATGGAGATAAGAAACTAACAACCAATTTGAAAAGAAAGGAAAAGGCAGGAATAAGAAAGAAGAGAATGATTAAGAACCTGAATTTGGGAGCACCCGGGTAGCTCAATTAGTTAAGCAGCCGCTCTGGATTTCGACTCTTGATTTCGGCTCAGGTCATGATCTCAGGGTCCTGGGATCCAGCCCCACATCCAGCTCCACGCTCAGTGAGAAGTCTGCTTGAGGATTCTCTCTTCCCTCTCCCTCTGCCCCTCCCGCCACTCCAGCTCTCACTCCCTCTCTCAAATAAATAAACAAATAAATAAATCTTTAAAAATAAAAAAAAAAAAATTTCAAGTCTGGCAGAAAAAAAAAAAGACAACTGGCACTAGGACCTCCTACAACACCACCAATATCAAATCAAACAAAATCTAGCTCTGGCAGAACATAGCAGATAAAATACATTATCAGGAAGATTAAGCAAGCAAGCAGAAAGACCAAGGAAAATTTCTTGGGTTTTGAAATGAAACACCTTGTGAACACTGCATCAGATACACAAGTAAAATGTTTTTCCATTTCAGTAAGACCATAACTTGTGAAGCTGAAGGGATTTTGATAAACATGAAACCTGTGTATAAGACAACAGTGTGTGCGTGTTAGTATGCACATGCACACATATGTGAATGCTGGGACATAGTGACTGTGCACACAAAATTGGCTAATCACAAGAAAAAGTTCGTGATTAACAAACAGTAAAAGAAATTATGAACTAAAAATTATGGGTCTGTTATTTAGCAGTCCTAAAGCCTCCTCAAGCCTCATATTCCTAAACTGGCTTTTTGATATCACTACACACCCATCAGTAAGAAAGCAATCGGCTTTCACAAAAGTATGTACAAAATTTTCCAAAATCATTACCAGCGACTGTTATACTTTCCCTTGTTACAATAAGTGTTTATTTAAAAAACAAACACTATTAATAAGTGTTGATAAGTATTTTGCCTCTACCAAAGTATACATTCACTATCTTTTTGCTCAGATAAAGCTGAAAATAATGAGACTGCAGAATATCTTTGTGAATATTTAAACTACTTTAAAACGGAAAATTGAAACTTCGATAAACATATTCTAAACTGCTACTATGTTTCAGACAAGCCACACTATTTAGAAGCAAGTAACAGGAAAAAACACGAATGTGCATCTTCTATTTCTGTGCCCAATAGTAAATAATTATAATTTTGCTTAAATATTATGTATTAACATTATCTAGTTTTAAAATTGAAAGGGTTTTGTTAATTCTTTTGTCACATTTCCTTTAAGTTACTCTAGATTCTATGCCTGATAGCAATATATCTCAGAGCTACCACAATAAAATAATCTTTATGATCAACTTACACTACAGTTTTCAGGTGGAACTAGAAGCTGAGTAATCTCACCACCATGCACACAGAAGATATGTTTCATTTCTCCAGAAAATATGTCCCAAATTATGACTGAAAAATCCACGCCTCCAGATATCAGATATCTTTGGTCATAACGAGCTGAGACCTGATGAGGATATAGCAAACATGTGACTTTGTTCCGATGACCACGGAGGGTTCTGTGAGGTGGCCAACCTGTGAATAAGGTTTTGGATTTAAAATGGGAAAATTAAAGTCTTACAAAATTTCAACAAATAAAAGCAAACATGAATTGTCAGAACAGCTATAAATTTTATCATAGAAAAAACTTCTAATTTTATCTTCTAAAATACTCTGTCCAATACAGTAGCTACTGCAGACTCATATGTGCTGTAAAATACAGAGGAGTTTTCAGAGATTTAGCACAAAAAAGTAATGTAACATATCTCATTTGTAATTTTTTATATTGACTGCAATTGATTTTACATTGTAAAATTCAAATTTTATTCAATTCTACAAGTTGAAAATAGTTTTGCTATATTGGGTTATATAAAACAGATTATTAAAACTGATTTCATCTGCTTCATTTTTACTTTATTAATGTGAATACAGAAAATCACATACTGTTATATATACATATTTCTACTGGACAGCACTGTTCTAAAAGACTGGCAGTATTACTGATAACATGGTAATTACTTAGTAAGCTATAGAGACAACTAATCATAAATGAAACTATTGTATATCAAGAGGTAAAATCAGATACTTCTTACATGTAGTCATTACACGGTATATATTCCAATAATGGGTACTAAGTATGCCTTACCTGCACTGGCATTGAATTCTACCAACTCCTAGCACACTAACAACTAAGCTGATTCATTGTACTTGTTACAAACAAAGAGGGCAAATACTGTCAATGTCATGGTTACAGAGTTCTCAAAACATGTCAGACACGGGGAGATCTTCAGTATACCTCTTCGGAGCATGTGTTCCCCTTGCAGCAGCTGTACTATGGCTGTCTGTGTGGCAGGCACAATAATGATGCTTCCATCCTCACGGCCACAAACGAGTCGTCCATGTGCTGGTATGTACACACTTGCGGTTACTTTAAGAGGTTCATTACTACTGGGAATCACACTCAGCTGATCTATAATTCCAGCAGGACAAGGATTCAGCTTATCAAATGCCTCTTGCAAACTAACAGAAGTTGTCATTTTCAGTTCTGTAGAGGTTTTGTTTTGTATTAAAAAAAAAAAATTGTCCATGTTAGAAAAAATTTAAACATTAAAATAAATGTACTTATGGTTGATTCAGTAATACATATCAAAGAACTGTCACAAACTATAATTCTAAGAAGAATACAATGACATATGTACATTATGAATTTATTATGCAGTGGTTAGTATTTATGTTGCTAAATTAAAAGAATTAAGAAATTGCTGCACATGATTTATTACTATCTTCTTTACCTTCCTGTTTATCAGGTGTGTCTGATATGTTCCAAATATTCAATCTTCCTGAAGAATCACCTTGAATTAATAGTTTGTGGAGGTGTTCCTTGAATCCATAGAAGAACCGAGTAACAGGAGGACAAATTAGCAACTGCCAAAAGAAAAAAAAAATTGTTCAAATATTTTTAGTTGTCCTTTATTTTTCATTTTTTAGATAATCTCTACACCCAACATGGGGCTTGAACTCATGATCCTGAGATCAAGAATCGCATGCTCTACCAACTGAGCCAGCCACGTGCCCCTTAGCTACCTTTTTAATCAAAATATTTTACACATTAATGTTTTTCAGATAAGGATGTTAAGTACTCTGCCTCAGAACAGAGTAAAAAAAAAAGTGCTTATAGCATGAGTCTTCAACAATACTTTAATGTAATTTTATAGCATTAATTACATGTCAACTAATATTCAAGTCCAATAAAATACAAATATGCAAAGAAATGAAAACATTTATAGTCTTTCTCTAGAATTAGTATTTATATTCTTTTTCTCTACTTTAGAAAAACTGATTACTTGCCACAACAATGCAATTTATTTAACTGTCTCCTATTAAATAATTAATACAAAGATACACCACTCTTTACCAAAAATAAAAGTCTCCACTTTAAAGGTCTAAAGGGGAGAACTAGCTAATCCTAGCTTTCTGCCCATTCCTGATCAGTCACTAGGAGTAGCAGCAAAATTAAACGACCAAGATTGTACAAGTAGAAGACTCCATTTTTTTTAAGCAGTATATTTTCAACTAATAGCATGACATTTTACTTGGTCACATTTATATAATCAATTTGAACATAGCCTGATATGTTAACTATAAACCACTAGGAACAAAAACCATTCATTAGGCTCTTGTGTATACTTTCTTTTAAAACAAATTATTTCTCCACTTTTATGCCTTCAGTGACATCACTTATTTGAAAATACTAAATAGGGGTGGGCTCATAAAATTATAAAGTTTAGATTATCAATTCACAAATGCCTGAATATTAAAGCATAGAATCTTATCCTGAAAAGCAGAAAAAAATATATTTTAGTTTTGACAATTATAGTTAACAAACAATCTAATTACTGTATTTGGTATTGTTTCCAAAAAATCACTAGCATATAGAAACTGTATATATTAAGCATAATCAATTATGTGATTTAACTTAAAGTCGGAAAATTACTGTTGTAACTGATAAATGAATGTTGTCATTCATGTTGTAAATGACATGTTGTAACTGATAAACAGTTTTCTAAAGTAGAGAAAAATGAATGTTGTAACTGATAAACGATATCCCTAACATGGAGAAGTCACTACAGCAGCTATAATAACCAATATTCCATATTCCACAGTGTGAGTATCCCACACCATATAATACATGTATCTTAACTTAAAACATATTGGGGAGCTGGTATTTTAAAAAACATAGTATGTACTTTGTTTTGCTTTGTTTTATCTATGTTTTTTATATAAGTCATTATCCCTTAGTTTACCTGGAAGTGACTGTTTGGTTGGAGGAGGAGGTGTTCAAGTTAGGAGAATAAAGGATAGGTTATAGAGCATCTTAACTGTACAGAGATGTATAAATTGTGTAAATTCAAAATAGTAAAAAAAGAAATTCCCTTCCCCTCACCATCCCTTCACATAAAGATGGAACAAAAAGTTCAAAATGAAAAAGGTGTGCAAACCCAGAATATAAGTAAAGGAAACTTTACTTCCCAAAACTTTGTCCTTAATGCTCAAAAAATATAGAGATGAAAATCTAGTACTAAGTGCCACTGCATTTCAATTCTAAATTGATATTAAGTAGGTCTTTAGAAGTCAGGGGCATCTGGATGGCTCAGTCGATTAAGTGTCTGCCTTCGGCTCTGGTCGTGATCCTGGAGTCCTGGGATCGAGCCCCATGTCAGGCTCCCTGCTCAGCGGGGAGCATGCTTCTCCCTCTCCCTCTGCTCCCCTGCTCCTGCTCTCTCACTCACTATCTCAAATAAATAAATAAAATCTTAAAAAAAAAAAAGAAATCATAATAAACTTTGGTTTTTATAGAGAAAAAATTTCTTTTATTCTTTATTTCTAATGCCCGATAATTTAAAACACTATATGATTTTGGGGATATATTGCAATGCCTTATCCAAGTAATGAACTATTACTAATTGGCAGTATTCCATGATTATCTTTGCCCTCCTAAAATTATACCTGTCACTATGTTTACAATTGCATTATAGCGTAAATTTATGCCATCAATATTTTACCAAAAAGTCATTTCCACTATGTAATCATAATAAGATCATCTGTATTCTAGGAGAAATGTGAACACTAAAGCATATTATATGATTAAGATATGCAAATTTTAGAACTGTGCTTATAACTGACCGTGTCAAAATGTTTTATGACATTTAACACTGCCCTGAATCTTTCAAATTCTTAGCTACCAAAAGACACCAATAAATGCAGTTGTGAAAAATTTTCAATGTCACTATCAATTATAAATGATACCTGAAGAATTTTACCTCTTTATCTGTTCGATCCAAGAGGCTATGTTGTACAGGAGGAATTAAATTTTCAACTGCTTTCCCCACATCACTGCGGAATGAATCACTAGCTGGAAGGCAACTGAAAATGAGAAAAATACAACATTCAATTAAAATACTGGCATTAAATATTTTATCATACGATATGAGGAGGATTTTTGGACAATGGACAAAATATGGATTTTCAAATTACAGTTAATTTAATGTAGGCATTAATTAATGTCATTAAAATACCCTACTTCAAATAAGGACCCACCTAATTTTTGTACTTAGAAGTTAAACTGGAATTATAAATCTAACTTAAGAAGTTCTGTAGTTTTTTACCTAAAATCATTTATACTTTAAACATTTTCATACATTCAAGTTATACCCTGAATTCAGACTCTTTTGCTTTGATTAAAGTCCTAACTTAATATTGATTGAATACCTGGCAGGTAGTTTGTAAATATAACTTTGCCCATTTTCAGTCCAAATGATTACTTTATCTGCTGATACAAAGTCACCTCCAGTCCACGTCTGTCCATTTTCACTAGGACCTGAACACAGCAAGGAATAGTCTCCAGCATCAAATACCTACAAGGAACAAGAAATTCGCAATCTAATCCATGTTGGTGTCATTTAAGTAAGATACAGTGACATTTAAACTAAAAACAAGGGGCACCTGGGTGGCTCAGTCAGTTACGCGTCTGCCTTTGGCTCAGGTCATGATCCCAGGGTCCTGGGATCGAACCCCGCATCAGGCTCCCTGCTCAGCGGGAAGCCTGCTTCTCCCTCTCCCCGCTGCTCGTGCTCTCTCTCGCACTCTCTCTCTCTCTCAAATAAATAAAATCTTAAAAAAAAAATAGACTAAAAACAAAACAAAACTTCTGGAAATATATTTACCAAGCTCGGGCCTTTAAAATTCACTACCTCAAGTTAAAGACATTGTGTCAGAGAGCCCCAGGGCTCAGTCACCTTCACCAGGGAAAACACAACTAGGTCCCCAGCTGTGCGCCTCTCAGCGGTCAGGCATATGACAAGTGGAGCAGGCGTGCTGCCTTGCACAGGGACAGGGAATCCTTAGCCTTTTTTATCTAAAGGGAGGAATGTTCCATCAAAGAATTCCAAGTCATAGGGAACCAGCCTCTAGAATGCATGGTTATGACTCCTGTTTTATTTCTATGTTCAGTAAAAATGTTTCTAATAAACTCAGACATCAGAATATCTCTTTATTAATATGGGAATGACCTTACTTTATTTCATTCAGGTACTGAAGTACCGTAAACAGAAAGTTAAAAGACTCAGCTTTATTATTTAATAATTCTCACGTATAAAAGTCAAGTCCCCCACAGCCCCCGCAGAAGTCAAGTCCCTAAAATTTCATCAGCAACACAGGCTATCTGGAGCTTTGTACCTGTAAGGCACATCAAAGTTTACAAAGTCCCTTCACATCATTGTCTCATATGAGCCTTAGAAGGACTGCAGGATTAATTGCTATCCCATTTTACAGACGGTAAACTGACATAAATAAGCGTTACATCACCAGCTCAAGGTCACATGTCCAGTAAGTGCTAAAGCTAGGACTAAAAACCCTGATCTCATAATTCCTAGAAGAATTTTTCTACCACTTTTAATAATTGGTAAAAGTATATTCTACAGTGCTAAAAAATTCAATTGGCTCAGAATTTTTATTTTAGTTTTCTTTAAATAAAAAGCAATTAAACTGCTTATACAGAGCCTTTTCAAAATTAAAACAAATCCTAGCCAAATTTACCATGATTTGCTATATTTATCATTTATTACATTAACACTGCAAGAATAGCCAAGACAAGTCTAAGAAAGAATGGAGACCACCCTCCAGGCTTATTATCTATGAAAACAAATTATAAAGCTTACAGAAAATAAAACAATACAGTACTGATGCATAAACAGAAAAATCAACAAGTCCAGAAACAGATTCCAGTAATTACAGGAATAGAATATATTATAAAGGCACAACAATACAAAAGTGAATTATTCAACAAATGGCATCAGGAACTGGGGGTCCATCTGGAATAAACATAAAATTGGATCTACAGCTTGCAATTTATATAAAATAAATTCCAGATTAAATATTCAAAGGTATATAAAGTAAAATTATACAAATATTAGGAATCTCAGCTTGTGATGAGCCCTTTAGAACATCTAACAAACTGTGAGAACCCATAAAAGATGATAATCTAACCACTTAAAATAGAAAACTTCTTTTTGGCAATAAGTATTTGGAAAAGTCATTCTATTCAGTTAGTACTACTATCTTAGTGTTGTTTTACTATGCATTTCTCTGGGGCGCCTGGGTGGCTCAGTCGTTAAGCGTCTGCCTTCAGCTCAGGTCATGGTCCCAGGGTCCTGGGATCGAGCCCCGCATCGGGCTCCCTGCTCAGGGGGAAGCCTGCTTCTCCGTCCCCCACTTCCCCTGCTTGTGTTCCCTCTCTCGCTGTGTCTCTCTCTGTCAAATAAATAATCTTAAATAAATAAATAAATACTATGTATTTCTCTGATGATTAATGAAGCTGAGCACCTTTCTATACATTTATTAGCCACCAGCTTTCTTTTATGAAACATTTTTGTCCCTTTTCCTACTGGATTGTCTTTGTTCTGTTCTCACATGTTTTTAAAATGCTTATTATGAACACACAAGAAACTGGTATTAGATGCTGCCCCTGGGGAGGGGAAGGAAAAGTAGCAGGGAAAAGGATGCATACTTTTCACTGCGTCCTCTTGCTCCCTGATTTTACTACTATTTACATGTGCTTTAAATTTGAAGACAAAGGAAGGATCCCATGTAGCTCACTATAACAGCAGCTGCTGGCTTCTCCTCTCTAATCTTATTCCAGAACAGTAGCAGCGGCAAGGATAAGGTTAAGGTGTTGCCTGCTGCCCCAGTCAGGCCTGACCCTGCAAAGCCCATGCCCTCTGAGGCAGTATCCCATGGTAGTGAGGAGGGCAGGTGCTGCAGTCAGGCTGCCAGAGCTGTAGCCCAGCACCGCCACCAGCACCTGTGTAACCGGAGTCGAGTTTTCTGTGTTCCCTATGCCTGCGGTGCCTCATCTGCAAAATGAGGAAAGTAGTAGTTCCTGCTGTAGCCGGCAGCCTCTATGACTGCCCCAACGTGGTATTCATACCCTTCTGTAATCCTCTCCCGAGTGTGGGATTCTGTGACGTTTCTAGCCAACGGACTGTGGGAGAAGTGATGAGACTGCAGTCCCAAGATTAGGTGGCTCATGGCTACAACTTCTCTTGCTTGCTTACTACTCTGAAGGAAGACAGTTCCCAGGCTGTGCGAGGCCCAGATGGCAAGGAACTAACGTGTCCAGGCAACAGTCAGCTGGATGTAAAGCCTGCCAACCACCAAGTGAGTAAGCTTGCAAGCAGACCCGCCCTAGGTGACTCCTACCAGGAGACTGTGGCCCTGGCTCACACCTTGACTGTAGTCTGTGGAGACCCTGAGCCAGAGGAACCCAGCTAAGCTGTGCTCGCATTCCCGACCCACAGCTGGGATTATGATACATGAACCAGAGGGGGACTAATACATGTTTATGGTTTTAAACTGCTAAATATATATTTATATAAATTTATATATAAATTTATAAATCCTGTTATGCAGGATTAGGTAACTGATACACCTCCCCTGAGAGAGTTGTGAGGATTAAAAGAAATAATACATGGAAAGCTTTGAAAAATATGCTAGGCACAAGTCGTCAAAACATGCTGGTTCTTTTTCTGTTATAGAAATACTGAAGTCTGGCAATGTCGAAGTAATATTATCCTTCGGTCATTAGCTCTCAAGTGATGTAAGGAAGACCTTCCCAAATCCAAGAAGTCAGAACAGAATGGCAATTGGGAATAACAACAAGCTACAAAGACAGGTCAACCTGCAGAAAATTCAGCACCACTGCTTATGTTGTACTGAGGAAATAATGACTGAAACGGTAGCAAAAGGTAGACATTAAGATCAGTGGGATAATAATCATTAACTGAATCATTTTATAGCCCAGAACAAAAAAGGTTAACGATATATAACTAAATCCCAACACCTACAAATTTGGTATCAAAATTACATAAGAATTCCAAAGGATTAAAATATTCTTGCATCAAGCTCTTCCTTATAATTATCTTTGAAGTCTGATAAACCAACACCTTGAAGGGTAAAAATACAGCTTCTTACTTAGTAGCTATCTTACCCTCCAATACTTGGAGCACACAACCAAAAGTGATCTTTGTGTGAATGCACAAAAAGAAATGCTTTGGCAATTCTGACAATAAATCGGTTTGGATTCCTCCTCAAATATTGGCTCAGTATCCTGAAAAGAGAAAGATAAGTAAAACGTTAGGAATGGTTTCACTGTCGATTAAAATTATCATACAGTGATTAAAATAAAGAAAATGCAAGAAAGACATCACTTGATATATTCATCATTTTAGCCCCTCATGTGAGAACTAAGGTAATAAAAAGCAGCAAAAATATACTACAAACACATCCGGGCACAATGTCTTTGCTACAAAGCTACTCAAGATTGAAATGCTGAAAAGAATCAGAGTGTCAACATTGTGGCAATAACAGATGATAAAAGTTTGAGTCAATCCTAAATTCTGTATCTATATGTCCTTCTACATTAAAAAAAAAAAAAAAAATCTATTCCTCCAGGTCCTCCCCCAAATTCAGTGTGTAGAAATTGACTAGCTGAAGAGATTAACGTCATACTTAGAATATTGATCTGGAGAAATCCAGATTCTTTATTGAGAGAATTACAAGGAATTCAAGCCCAAAGAACAGAGAACTAAAATTGGCTTTATATACTTTTTGTATTGGTTTGCTTTATTTTTTCCCCTCAAGTAAACTATTTTTTAACTTTAATAGAGGCAACTGAGGAAAATCCCAGCTCTTCTGTGTTTCTCTACTTTATATCCTATTTCATATCCTCGACAGAGCAGATGTCTGCCATCAAAAGTGAAAAACATAATACACTTACAGAGACAGCATACTAGGGGATGTTCTAATACTATGTCAATAAGGCTCTCGAAAAAGAACAGCTTTCTCCTGGCCCTTTAGGAAAAAAAGGGAGGGGGCCTATCATCGCTAAAACTGAAGACACTGTAAGAACAGAACATTTGTCTCACCTGCATGCCACTTATTTCAGAGGTAACAATCCACACCTTCAAGATGCCCGTCACTGAGAGTGCGACCACAGTGTCCTCTAAGTCGAGAGGGACCAAGAAGCCAAGGTTACAAACATAATACACTTTCTTTCTAAATAATAACATGGTTTGCGTTAATGAAACTAATAATTCTTCTCAATTGGCATAAAAGCATAATTCTATATTTCATGAAATAACAGAAGCCAGATTTTGAAACAAAATAGACCACAAATTTGAAATTCAAGGAAAAGTTGTTTGCAGCTACTTGAATTTTTTAAATTTCTAATCAACCGATTTTTAATAATTTCAAATGTTCCTGATCACTATGATTACTTCATGATTTAACAAAGAATTTTTATTCTTCCAAAATTCACAACTTTTAATTATTTATCATGGGTGAGCACACTCACTTTATTTCTTGAAGACACTCATTTCCCCAATGTCCCACCTACTTTGTCTGCCTTCTAGACATTTTATGGTACATTACATCCTCTATAGACAGTGATCAAGAGAAGACATGATCTAAAAAGGAAATGCATAGGCTGCAGGTAAGGAAGTAGTCACAGTGCCATGGTAACATACAAGAAACTCTGAGAGCAGAGACACTGGGAGCAGTCTCATGCGGGCTCCAGAGTGAGGGAGATATACGTGAAAATCTCATTATCTTCACTAACTAACCAATGAACTGTGGATAACTTAACCTGTCTTAAATTCAACTTGCTTATCTGTAAGCAAATACAAATGAGTAACAATGGTACCTAGCTTAATGGGTTGCTATGAGAATCAAGACACACCACAGGGGGCGTCTGGGTGGCTCAGTGGTTGGGCAACTGCCTTTGGCTCAGGTCACGGTCCCAGAGTCCCGGGATCGAGTCCCACATTGGGCTCCCTGCTCGGCAGGGAGTCTGCTTCTCCCTCTGACCCTCTCCCCTCTCATGCTCTCTCTCACTCTCTCTCTCAAATAAATAAATAAAATCTTAAGAAAAAGACAAACAAAACACAGGTATAGCATTCAGCATATCAATCAAGATGGGTTATTACTATTATTAAAAAGAACAGTTTGCTGTCCTTAAATAAAAACCTTGCTGTATTACATAGTTCTCCAGACAGTGTAAGGCACTGGAATGCAGCGATTACAAGTCATGAGCCTGTATGGAGACACTAACAACTGCTCACATATCTGTCAATTTATAGTAAAAGTGGAACATACCAATATAGCTAAAATTCTCAAATATCCAAAGACTAAAATACGGTAAATGCAGATTAAAAATTACATATGCTTGCAAGATTATAAACTGATAACATTTAGAATTGCATGCACAGCACAGAAGTTTTCATCAGTGACATTCTATCCTATTGTGATCAGAGTACATGTGTATCTCATATGGAAATACTGTAAAAATTCAAAATGTACAAACTGCTTATCACAAATACAGTCCTTTTTTAAAGAAAACATTGACTGTAACTAAGATTACAGGTGAACATGCTAATAATGAGTTCCCCATTGCCTGGAAAATGAAGTGGAATCTCTTTTTCACTGCTATGCTCTTGAATAAAGCAGTAATTCTCTAATAGGCATTAAAAAGCCTCTACTTAAGGTCCCAGATTAAAGAAGTCTGTTCAACTGTATTTCCCTGAACATCTCCCAAATATATTTGACCACAGAACCCTCCTTTTTCACTAATACCTATTAACAAACTTCAGAACCAATACTCTGCAGACGAGCCCTTGGGAAGTGCTGCAAACCCATCCACTCTGTTTCCACAACCACTGCTGGACCTCAGACCTGCACCATGCTCGGCTGGGGTATTAAAATCATCTCCCATCTAAACCATTCTCAACAATGCCACCAAACTGATGCTTAAAACCAAGTCCCAGGGTGCCTGGGTGGCTCAGTTGGTTGAGCGTCTGCCTTCGGCTCAGGTCATAATCCCAG